AGCAGAACCTTAAGTCTTCCTTCCCTATATTTGTGCAGCAGGCGGAGAAAGCGGCGGCGGAGCTGAAGGGCCTGCGGGGACTAGAGGGCGCGGGGGACCTGCATGTGCTTTTGGCCGCTACTGCAAATCTGGAAATGCTCAAAGTAGCGCGTGATGCAACGAAGATAGAATCTGCTTGCTCTGATGAGATCAAGGCAATTGCAACAGCAGCGCTGCGCATGCAATACCAGCGGGAGCACGCGTCCATACATCGCGAGCTAGCAGAACAACTAGGAAAACTGCGCATTCTGTGTAAAGTAGAGCGACGGCGCCGAAAACTACTTCCCAAGCAAGACGTCAGCGTCTTAGAGGCCCTCGACGGGCTTGAAGACCAGCTGAAGAGAGGCGAGCAGCAGCTTGAGGAGCACAAGGCGATGGTGGAGCGGATGGAGGAGGCAGAAGACATCATCTCCTCACGTGATGCGGAAAAGCTGGCGAGAAGGATTGGGAACAGCCTGGAGGCCTTGCTGGAAGCCGCTGCCAGCAGCAGGAGTTCAATTCCCGGTGCTCTAAGCGAGGGAGAAGCCGCCCAAAGCGAAGTCATGCAGCGCTACCTGAAATTTGTGGCCATGAAGACAAACCGAGATGCTGCTGCGGAGAGGGAGAGAGCAGTGAGCATACTAAATAAGATAGATGTGCAGATGCCCGACGATTCCGCTTTCCCGTTGAAGCAGGAAGGGGCCGGGCAAAACCAACCTCCATTATCGACGCTTAGGAGCTCCACCGTGACCAAGCAGATTTTCAACGCGCCGAGGCAGGTTGGGGATGCAAATACTGCTATGCGCAAGACTGTACATGCAGAAGAAGCGAAGCAGGAGAGTAGCAGCAGCTCAGATGCCAGTGCTGAGGAACTCCTGCGTGCAGCGCGAACGGCCGCTAAGGCTTCAGAGGCCTTCGGCCAAGAGGCGGAGCATATGTGGCTCTGTACAATGCTTAAAAACTCCGTAGGACTCGACATGCAGCTGAGTGTTGCCTTGGCTCAGAGATCAACTGCCTTAGTAGGCATGGAAACAGGGGATGTCGACCAGGAGCAGCAACGTTGGCATGTCGAAATGCCTTCCGATGATATGCAGGAATTTGGAAATATGCTGATGGATTTCACGAATATCCAGGAGGAGGCGCAGTCGGCGAATGGCCTCGATCAAGTGGCTTCAGCAGCAGTAGCGATGAAACAGGCAGCCTTAAAACTCACGACATTCGTCGCGGAACATCAGGGACAACTAACCATACGCAAAGGACGAATGCCCAGAAGCTCATAAGGCGAACCGTATTTGAATTTAGCACATGGCAAGGAGAACCGTTCGTTCTGATGTATATCTCCCTTTTGCTCTTGAGAGACAGGGACCAATAATAGATCACCAGCAAGCAGAGAAGAAGGGAAGCGTAACACAAGCACATTGACAGGCGATGTGAGAAGTGGCGAACAGATGGCGATATATTATGAGTTCGCCCTGTAGATGGCCACCACTGAATTGGCCATTCCTTACGGGAGGAGCAGATATGATAGGACCTCC